TTTTTCTAATTATTAATTATAGAAAGATTTTTGACATCCTTATCATTCCCAGCTCAGAACTTGATAAATGTCATTCGCTTTTTTATGAGAACTAGAGGATTCTCTCATTTTGAGGTCATCGAAAAAAAAAAACAAAAAAAAAAGCAATGCAGTTTGTGAGGGCCGGGAAGTCGGTCAGAAATGCCACACCATCGATCCGTGCTTTGTGTCCCTCCCAAGTCATCTAATTGCAGACTCACTCGCAGTTTAAAACCCTCATGAGAAAGCAACGGAGCATGGTAAAAAGATTTCTAATCTAATGACGAAAATTAAGTGAATTGCAGAAAAAATGAGTGCCGTGGCTTGGCGAATTTCGATGGGCTGGTTTGCGTTAATGCACTCCAATGAACTGGACTTGTGGCTTTTTTTGCTTAGAGGTGTCAACGCCGTGAGCGGAATTAATTCCCTTCAGTACCTTCTGGTGAAATTACTGGCGTTCATTGACCACATTGAGGCTTCCGATTCCATGTTGCCGGAGAATCAAAACCTCCTCTCCCGAATCACAGCCCTTATGGATAGGTTACAGCCGCAAAGGTGAGGTAATCCTCCTCCGCCTCTATGTAATGTTTATTCATTCATTTTCTCTGACTTCAATTTTTGATGGCTCTGTTTTTAAGTATCTTGAAAGTTTAACCACTTTGCTTTGCTTATATGTCGCACTTACTGTTCATGTCCACCGCTGTCAGCTCACACCTACTCGCATTTAGATGGCCATTGCCACACAGTTTTGTAATGAACCACTAAAATCCGTTTTTTGGCTACTTAGTTTCCTCCTTAAAGGCATTTTTTGAGCTATACTGTGGTGTTTGGTGGAGCCATTGTAGTCATTGTAGCCCATAACAAGTGGTTTATAATTATAGTCCAAGCGAATACGTCAGCTATAAATTATTTACAGCACGAAGGCATCTTAGACGGCATTTGGTTCTAGTTATTCTTTAATATTTAATCTTCCGGTAAAAAGGGATAAATAGTGAAGTTATAAAATTGGTCTCCCATGAGAATCATAAAGCTGTGGTTGCTGTTTATTGAGAGGCAAAACGCATAATTTTTCTCTGTCAAAGGAAATATAAAGAAGCTATTTTGCTTAGCATGACTGCCATTACTCTACTCGTATGTCTGAGTTCGTGCCTCTGCTTGCTCCTCAACACATTTGGCGATCACCTTGGAGACCTAGCCACTTCAGAGCTACTTCCTATTTGGCACTTCAGGGGATGAAAAGATTCTGCCTTTTTGGATAACAAGCATACTGCTTCGCTTACCATTAAGCAGTTGTCTTTGCTTTACTACTTCAATAGCTAGCTTAGTTTTGATGGAGGGATGCACCATTTTCTTCCATCATCATTATTTAAAGAAATAATTTGCCCTTAGATTGAGAAACTTTTCTCAGTTGTGGTGAAATTGAATTAATGTCATTTTTCTACACTTATCCACAACGGCTGCCACTTTGTAAATAAATGCTTTGGTTGCCATAGGATGGAACGCTGCGCTGACGGTGGTTCCGAAAACTGCTCCTCCTCACAGGCGAGATCACGGGATGCTGTAAAACGCTTGCAACAGTACGTTTCTGAAAACGTGCTCATGCCCCTGCACTCCTCAACGCCCTTCTCAACCCTCGGTGCTCTCTCCGCCAATGTCAGGGCCTATTTCCAAAACGAGGATGTCTCTTCCCGAACTTTTGGCTCATCCACTAAGAACTTATCTAATAAGAGGTGATGACGATGATGAGAGCAGCTATGAATTTCTTCCATCGTCCATGATCGCAATTACAATCAAAGTTAACAAACCACACTCTTCACCTGTTGATTTGTAGAAGGCCTACACTTACTCCTGCTCTTCCCTGGCAAGCGCTGTCAAGGGGTGGGAAGTAATTCACGACTGTCTAATCGTTGATCGTAATCTCTCTTGAATCCAGCAGCAAAGTGCAGTCAATACGGTGCTATTTAAGGCAGCTTATGTTACGGGAAACTTCCAAAGCGATTACAGGTGGCTGCTTACGAACGTTAATATTTGATGATCATAACCTAGTCTGGACTCCGTCGGCGGTTCTTCTCCCCAACCACTGTTTACATATGGGGAGCGCTTCACTTGGCAGATAATACGTTATTGTAGCGTGTGGGAATGGCTTATTAAGTGCGTATTTCGGGTGATATCACGCATTACGTGTCAGCCTATCCATGAGGTTCAGCTTATGCGAGTGCACATTTTATAGGCAGCTGTGGAAGGGGGGATTTTTTTGGCCACAATCTTTTTTGGTGCTTGTTAAAATAAAAATTCAAATCCTTGAAGGCACATTCAATTGGTTTCAATATTGTGCAAAGTTGAAAGGGAGTAAAGCGAGAAACCTTTAATTTTACTCAACTGCTTGACCAAAACTCATTCACATACGGATCGTATAAAGTTTGTTGCTGTTACCTTTCTGGGTCACGGAAATCAAAAGAAGCAGCTCACAGACATGCCTTTTCATCTTCCACTAATTTCGTTTTATGATAACTTCAGTTTTATTCCTCGGTCTTGTCACCAGCAATTATAATAAATTCCTTTAGAACCGAACAACAGAACAACACTCTGTACGTCCATTACCGTTACGTGGAATGGCTTTGCAAAGCCAACTTTGAGAGTCTCAGCACCATCAATGCGAGTTTGGCACTGACCTTAGGTATGCCTTTGGTGCTGCTAAGTTACAGTGCTAACACCATCTCCGGTACTTGTGAGTTCTCATCAGAGGAAGCGGTTGCTCGATCCCTATCAAACTTGGCATTCAT